TAATTGAGATGGACGTATGTCATCTTATTCTCGGACGCCCGTGGCAGTTTGACGTAGGGGCTATTTACGATTGTCGGGCTAACACGTACGCATTCGATTGGAAGGGAAGGAAATTGAGGCTACTTCCACGTATAGCAGAAAGCGAAGTGAGTAAGACAAGCCCAAAGACTGCCTTATCCATAGTCTCAGAGAAGACTTTACTCAACGTGTGGCGGGAGTCCAATTCGTTGATGATGTTGGTGGTGCAAGAGCCAAACAGAGACAATGATGTGGTGACCGAGTCTCCAGAAGTTCAGTTGCTGCTTCAGCAGTTTGCAGATTTGTGCCCACAGGAATTACCGAGCGAACTCCCACCTTTACGGGCTATTCAGCACCAAATAGAACTAATTCCGGGAGCCACATTGCCCAACCTAGCACACTACAAAATGAGTCCAAGTGAACACCAGGCCCTGCAACAAATCGTGGATGATCTGCTGACAAAGAATTTGATTCAACCTAGCGTGAGTCCTTGTGCGGTACCGGCATTGCTGGTACCAAAGAAGGATGGGTCGTGGAGGATGTGCATGGATAGTAGATCTATCAACAGAATCACGGTGAAGTTCCGTTTCCCTATGCCGAGGATCGAAGACATGTTGGATAAGCTGTCCGGAGCAAGTATATTTTCAAAATTGGATTTGCGCAGCGGGTATCACCAGATCCGAATTCAAAGTGGGGATGAATGGAAGACAGCTTTTAAAACTCGTCAAGGACTCTACGAGTGGAAAGTCATGCCTTTTGGGTTGTGCAATGCCCCGGCCACCTTTATGAGATTAATGAACGAAGTGCTTAAGCCATTCCTTAACAAATGCTGCGTCGTCTATTTTGATGACATATTGGTATATAGTGCAACCCGAGAGGAACATTTCCAGCATCTAAAGAGCCTGTTCGAAACTTTAAGGGAGAATAAATTATTTCTGAACTTGTCTAAGTGCAAGCTTGCTACCGAGCAGGTGGGTTTTCTCGGATTTCTGATTTCAGCTGAAGGAATTCGAGTGGATCCTAGAAAGGTGGAAGCTATAGAGAATTGGCCGACTCCCCGCTGTTTGACTGATATCCGAAGTTTTCACGGATTAGCAAATTTCTATCGGAAGTTCATCCGGGGATTTAGCAGCATAATGGCACCAATCACCAATGTCCTGAAAAAGCCGCAGTTCTATTGGACCGAGGAACAACAGCAGAGCTTTAATGCAATCAAATTGGCTTTAACATCCGCTCCGGTTTTGGTTCTACCTGATTTTAACAAGCCTTTCATGGTTGATACGGATGCTTCTACGGTGGGCATTGGGGCAGTGTTATCTCAAGAGAGAAAACCTGTGGAATTCTTTAGCGAAAAATTAAGTCCATCTCGACAAAAATGGACGGTTTACGAACAGGAGCTATACGCCGTGGTGAGGGCTTTAAAACAATGGGAGCACTATTTATTACATCAAGATTTTATATTATGCAGTGACCACAAGGCCTTACAGTACATTAATTCACAGAAAAACATTAGCCGAATGCATGCCCGCTGGGTTATTTTCCTGCAGCGATTCAGTTTTGTTTTACAGCACAAAAGTGGGGCACAGAACACTGTCGCGGATGCGTTGAGCCGAAGGGCTATGCTGATCACGCAGTTGCAAACCGAATTCTCGGGTCTAGCGTGCTTGACCGAGCTGTATCCAGGAGACGATTTCTTTAAAGAACACTGGGCTAAGTGTTGCAAACAAGAACCGGCAGATGATTATTCTATTCGGCATGGTTTTCTATTCAAGGGACATTTGCTCTGTGTGCCATCCTCATCGTGGAGACAACATTTAATTAAAGAAGTTCATGCAGGCGGATTGTCGGCGCATATGGGCAGGGATAACACGATTGTGCAACTCCAGCAACGATTTTGGTGGCCTCATTTGCGTCGAGATGTCTCAAAGTTTGTGGAAAGATGCTCAATTTGCCAGTCTTACAAAGGCGGGGGCCAGAACACTGGCTTGTATCAGCCACTGCCGGTACCGGAGTCTATATGGGAAGACTTAAGTCTCGATTTCATTTTAGGCTTACCGAGGACCAAACATGGCAATGATTCGATAATGGTGGTCGTGGACCGTTTCTCCAAGATGGCACACTTCATTGCGTGCAAGAAGACATTTGATGCCCTCAACATTGCCAAGATTTTTTTTAAGGAAATCGTTCGACTACACGGCATTCCTCGCAGTCTTACATCAGATAGGGATGTTAAGTTCATCAGCCATTTCTGGCGTGAATTATGGAAAAGGTTGCATACACAAATTCAGCTCAGTTCGTCTTATCATCCGCAAACCGATGGCCAAACGGAAGTGGTGAATCGCACGTTGGGAAATCTATTACGGTGCCTGGTTCAAGACAATCCTAAGCTATGGGATGAGCTTCTCAGCCAAGCTGAATTTGCATTTAATTCAATGACCAACCGATCCACGGGTATGTGTCCATTTAGTATAGTTTATACTAAAGCACCCAATTCGGTTCTTGATGTTGCAGTACTGCCGAATTGCAAGAGTAAGACTGCAGCAACTTTGGTGGAAAACTATGCTGAATTCCTATCCAACATCCGCTTAAGACTGCAAGCTGCCAACGCGAAATACAAATCAGAAGCAGACATTCACCGGCGGGAGAAACTTTTTAAGGCTGGAGATCTGGTACTTGTAAGGCTAAAACGCGAACGACTTCCCGTTGGCGAATACTCCAAGTTGGGTAAGAAGAAATGGGGGCCTTTTCCTATTGTTCATAAAATTAACGATAACGCGTATGTCGTTGATTTGCCGGAGGAGTTTAATACATCGCACACTTTCAATGTCAAAGATATCTACGCCTATCATCCTCCGGATGAACCCGAGAACCATCAGCAATCTGTTAGCACAGATTTTCTTTCTAGCGGGGGCGAATGATGCGGAGCAATCCCTGTTATCCGGTTCCAGGGAGTACCTTAACCTTCAGAAGAATATACTTACTCATTCTGTTATTATTAGTCAGGAGCCACTACCTAGCTACTTTAGTTGGTTATATAGTACAGCATTTCCCTTTTATTATGCTTACCCTTTTAGTAGTAAAAGCTGGCATATATTAGCCAGAGCTGTTAGTAGAGAAAACAGTTTTCAATTTCAATAGAATCAATATACACAGCTCCACCGTGAATTGGAGTTCTACTTGCTCGTCTCTCTTGTGTATTCCATTGCTTGCAGGTGTTGCGGCATCAAGAAATGTCATTTCTAATGTTTTCTAACAAAGTCTTTTTAGGTCTACATCTACCTTTCTTAACACAAGTCAAATGAAAAATATATACTTTCATAATCGGATCATTAAAAGACTGTCGTTTTATGTGACCAAACCATCTAAGGCGACTATTTATAATCTTATCTTCCACTAGATCTACTCTAAACCTTTTCATATATATGCTTAGTTCATATCATGCTAAGAGTAAAGTCACTCATCCATCTGAGCATCCTCATCTCTGCAACAATTCACTTAATATTATGCTTCTTTTTTAATGACCAACATTCTGCTTTTGCACCATTAAGCATTGCAAGTCTAACCACCATCTTATACAATTTTCACTCAAATTTAAGGGGGACTTTTCTATCACATAACAAGCCCGATGCAAGACCATTTTCCCAAACATAATAATTTTAGTAAATTTTTTTTATTGACTTCATCATTCTGCGAATGAATCCTTGCATCATGAAGTGCTCCATGTTAATGTTTTATTGTCTTGATGATCTCAGAAGCTTAAATCATTTGTAAATATTAATGTCTTTTGTTCTTACTCTTGCAAGAATTTTTGAAATGGCCTTTTGTTTAAGAGGCTAGTCACTGCTGCATTCTCCTGAAAAACGTCATGGAAGGCTACTCCCTTAAAATTTGGCTTGACTGAGCCATAATTGAGCCTCTTTACTCTAATGAGGTGCAGTCTTCCTACTCGTCCATGATGTCATGTTGAACGCATAATTTGATAATTTTTTTGTACTTTTATTTTGAAAAATAATGGCTCGATAACATGGGCATGGTTAGACACAATATTATAATTTTTATATTTTAAAATAGTTCATAAAAAATTGAATAAGTATAATATTAAAAATAATTTAAAAATAATAAGTCATTTAGCTAGAATTGGCGCTTAAAATGATTAATATTAAGATGCCAAAAGTTGGGCGTCAATGTTGTGTATCATGTTTACCTCATTTTTGTATGAGGCCGATTTCCCTAAGTTCAGTCCTTAGATCCTAGGTTTTCATAGCTAGTATACTACTAAAATACGTGATCTTTCGCAGCACTTGTTGTTTATGTATGTTGCGTGCGAGAATATCCGCGGCGGTAGAGTTT